CTCTGCAGACTGCTGCAGGGGCCACGCTCGGGGGAAAAGAACACCGACCACCTTGAATCCTTGAGTCCTGAGTGCAAAGTGGCTGTGGGAGCAGAAGTCCAGGAATCATGAGGAAGGCCTTGGATTCCCCAAGCATAGAATTTGCTATCATCTAAGTGGATTTTATGCTCTTATGCAGTAAATGTGCCATTGTTAGAGTTCTATACATTAAGTAACTCCTACACCTGGACACGAAAGCTCAGCACTGACTCTCATACCAAGGTAAGGAAAGTGGTCAGTGCAGGGCAAGCAGGGGAAGCATATGACCAAGGTTGTCACCACAGTGAGTCCTCCCTGGTCAGCTGGATCAAAATGTGGGGACTTCAGTTTCCAGGGACAAGAAGAACAGTCCACAGGGGTGAGCATTTCATTCTTGCCTGAATCCCGGAGGGTAAGGTGTGCTTCTAAAAGATGAGCCCCAGCAATTTTTTCTTCTCTCCTACAACTTTATTCCCATTCACACATCAACCTGCTCTTAGTATGCCCCTTCTAACAAACAAGACTGTTGTCATACAACCCCGTCAGCTACCACCATTTCTTCTGTTCCCATTCATATAAAATTTCTGAAGGCTGGTTTTAGCTGATGTAGCAACAGTCTGGCTTCAACCTATTTTACCTGCGCTTCCCCCAGCATTCCACTGAAAGGGCTCTTTCTTCTGTGTGCCCAGAGCCAATGGGCACTCTTGTTCCCATCTGGCTGATCTCTCAGCAGATCCCAAATGCTGATTAGTTCCTTTCTCCAACTCTTGCCTCGCTCTTGTCTGCTTTTTCTCTTGCTTCACAGATCCCTAGCATCGGAGTGGCTGATCCAGGATCAATCCTGATGTCTTTCCCTTCCTCTTGTAGACTCTGACTTCCTGTCTCACCTAAATAATGATGACTCCCAATTTTATAACTTGATCTATCTACATGGTGTTTCCACTTAGATGCCCAACAGGAATCCCATACTTAAGATGATTCCTTTCTATGGCTTTCATCCTCAGCCCCCATCTCTGTAAATGTTATACCACTCACCCAGAGCGAAAAATCTGTCATCATTACTTCCATCCTTTCCTTCTCACTCATCAAATCCATTGCCTCTGTGATTCTTCCCACCTCCACCATTGCCCTAGACTGGGTCACCATGGTCATCTTTATGAGGCCACCTCCTCAGCAAAGCCTTTCCTAACAATCCTGTCTTAAGCAGCCTTTCCGCCACAACCCAGTACCTCTAGTTTAGACTCATCACTGTACCAGTTGTTACTTTTCCTTAATTTTTCTGTATTTAATGTCTATTCATTGTGCCAGATAAGTTAGGTGTGCCACAGAGCAGGCTGTTACTTGTTTGCTCATTGGGGTAAACCCAAGCCCTCAGAGGGTGCCCCCACACAAGATGGAAACACCACACAGTTCAGGTGGGTGCTCATGACTTAAAATCATAAAACAAAACAACCCTCATACTCTTTCCAGTCCTTCTAAGGACCTAACAGATGAGGGTGAAGGTAGTCACCAAGAAGGCAACATGAGGTTTATATTTGTTCCCAGGGCAGAGAAACTCTCAAGGTCAAGTTCAGTAGTATCCTTTATGTCTTTGGTGAGACATATTCACCCCTACAAGCAACGTTTTTTTAAAATGGGGATGTCATCTGGGGATGGTGTTGCACACCTGCAATCCCAGCTACTCAGGAGGTGGAGCCAAGAAGATGGTGAATTCAAGGCCAGCCAGGGCAAAATTACCATAAGACCCTTTCTGAAAAACAAAATAAAAACTAAAGGCTGGAGGTGTGGCTCAAGTGGCAGAGCACTTGCTTAGTAAGTAGTAAGAGGCCCTGGGGAAAAACTGGGGATGTCACTTCAGGGCAGGATTTAAAGGTCCTGGAATCACTTTCCAAGTATACCTACTGCAGTTTCTTGGCCAATGACCTTAAACTCAACATGCCTCAGTTTCCTCATCTGAAAAGTGGCAATAAGTACTTATGTCAAAAATTGTGGCAAGGGTTCTAAATCACACATGTGAAGCACTCTGAGCAGCGCCTGGCTCAGTGATTGTTCGGTCTTCCTTCTTAGGAAAACCACTGCTGGAGAGTCCTTGTAGACTTTGATCATCTCTGCTGCCTCTCCAGACTTCCCAATCTCCCCAAACATTGGATACTATTTAGCTCCTCTCTTTGGCAAAAGGGTCCCAACTTCCACACACAGGGTTCTAGTGCCCTAAAATTCTGCACCCTTCTAGCTTACCAGGTACCAGAGAAAAATGAAACCAAGTCCTGAAATGTACAGAGTACATCAACATGTTTGAATGAAACTGAATCAAATATTCTTGATCTTACCAGGAAATATACTGCCTTAAAACAGTTCATCTGAAATATTCTGCTAACAGAAGAAATGATGGCTTGGGGTAATCATAGCCAAAATGATTTTTTCTAGTAAAATTAGTCTAAAACTTTGGAGCTACATGAATGGAGTTTTTGTGTAGAGCATATACACCGTGGAATTCAGTATTGGTGTTCTCTAAGAGAATGTAATTAGTAAATCAATTTGATTGGGAAAAAAACTGTCCCAAGACATTCTCAATAAAGGTAGACTCACTGAGTTGTGTGGTACTAAGAGCTAGAAAAATAATTTTCATGAAGATGGAAAAAACCATAAATGTAGCAGCCCACAGGATACATAAAATCAAATTACAATGTATCACATCATACTGACTCTAATTCCAGCTGTACCAACTGGCTTGTTCAGAAACAATTTTTTTTAAATAAAGAGGTATTACATAGCTGAGACACAATTCTGCCTTTGCCTGGTCTCTCCACATTCTGCATTCATGGTTCATTATTGTAGTGACTGCACCAATAATCCAGTTGTCAACAGAAATGTGTAGGTTAGGTGAATGAGTTGCTACAGAATAGTAGCTTTTAAAGAAATTTTGTACTTTTACTAGTCCACATAGATGAAAGGAAAAAAAACCAAAACAGTATTATCTTCTCTCTTCCCAAAATGGACACCAAAATTTTTGTATAGGAAAAAAAAAACAAAAAACCTCAAAAAGTCTCAAACTCCCAAAGCAACCCAACTGGGATTTTCCATGAGGTATGACAGGAACGCCACACACTGCGTTTAACAGTGTTGGAGGATGTTCCCTGGGAGTAGAAATAACATTTGCACACGTTACAGAGGCATGTCTGAAACCTTTTATTAAACAGGCAATGCATTGTGGAATGGTTAAGGACACAGATGCCTAGTGGAAAAGTTTAAAAATTATTTTTGGAAACAGTCTATGAATTGATGAACTCTGCTATTTTCCTTCCTCTCCTCCTCAAAGCAGCTACCTTTAGGAAATCTGATTGCTTTATAGCTGCTCTGGAAATGGTGTCCCTGTTTTACCATAAATGTCATGCCTTAGTGGTAAACACAAAAGGAGAAGATAGGGTCCATGTCAAGACAGTGGTCAAAGACCTGGGCTGACTGCAAGTGGCAGACACCGGAGCTCCTGGGATGGCTTCTGTTCTGGTCTTGCAGGGTGACCGATTTACGCATCCCCATTTCCTTTCTGCTTGCTGCCTCTTCTCAGGCTCATTACCAAGGGAATTCTAAAAAGCTCACATTCATACCTCTGGGCATAGGAACCTGTTCCTGGACTTTTTCAATGTTGTTCTTGTCTGGGGCCTTGTGGCCCAGGATTATAGCTGTATGTTTGTCCTCTTTATTTTGCCTGGTTCCTTCCTCTTCTCCAGGTCATAGTAACTTGGTGATAAAATCAATCTGAAGTTTCACAGTCTGTTTGCCATGATTTATTGGCAGTTTTAAAGTTAGTGGTCAGTCAACACAGTGGACATTCTTCATCAGCATGCTGCCAATCTATTTTATGATTTGGGGCATGTCGCTCCAAGCTTGAGATTTCTTTCTGGCAAGTTCCATCCAGGATGGCTGATCTGCACTGGCATAACTTGCTCTCTTTAGCTGATTCAACTCCTTCTCTGTCATCGCTGCAGCCTGAGCTGCTGGAAAGGAGACAAAACAAACAGAAACATGAGACAGGAGTGTGGATTTTCACTTAAGCCTCTAGCATTTCCTTAAATATGTGTCAAGGTCTTAACTCTGTTCCTTAACATAAAATTCATCAATATGTAAATGTGTAAAGAAGATTTAGGCATAGAATATGTAACTTATGTGACAAAAAGGTTTAAAAGCAGGCTTAAACACTTCTGGCAATGCAGGGAGGCGAGAAACGTTCAGAGTAAAATGGCAGGAACACCAGCGGTAGGTTGTACAACACGTGAATGTGCCTAACACCTACTCAGCTGTCCACTTAGAAATGGTTAGGAAGATAAATTTCTTGTTGTGTGCCTTTTACCACAGTTAAAAAATGAGTAAAATTTAAGACACCTGGGGAGGGAGTGCAGCTCAGTGGTAGATTAGCATGTGTGAAGTCCTGGATTTGATCCCCAGCACCATAAAATAATACTGATACACCCAACCACAGAAATGAATTTCGGAAACACCAGGCTCAGCACAGAAGCTAGATACAGAAGCTTTACGATTCCATTTATAAAAAATGCTCCAAAAAGGCAAATCTTCTAGGCACAGAAAATGCATTAGTGTTTGCCTTGAGCATGGGAATACAGAAGGAGTTGAGGTTTCTTTTCAGTGTGAGGGAAATTTTACATATAGACTGCCATAGGGCGGCACAACTCTGAAGATTCACAGTCACTGCAAATACATCTTCACTGAATTGCACACTTAAAATGGGTGAGCTTCATGGTGTGTAAATTATATCTCAATAAAAGCTGTGTAATTATAGTTCAGTAAAAACTGTCACTCAATGTGACAAGTTTAATTCATCGAAACAATCCTAAACTGCAGGAAGAGTCCAGGACCCTGGTTTCACAGTGTTTGGTAATACATGCTGATCTCGTACCCAAGTTTTGATGGGACAGTGAGATTCCTCTTTGCAGCCCCTCCTTGAGACTGAGCTTTGCCCCCTGTCTCTGGGTCACAGCAGGCTTAGCAGGGGTCATCAGAAAAGACTTGCTGCGGACAAAGTCAGCCTGCTTCATGGGTTCCTGTGGGGACACAAGAATGACACACTATCCAGCCACATAGACTCAGACAGGGACAAATACAACCAAAGTGAATGAGCCACAAAGCATCTCTCCAGGATGAACTGGCTGATGGCTCTTTTTGTGTGTCAGCTCACTGATGTTCAGCGTTACACTAGTGCCCATCCCGATTCCAACTCCCATGTGCCCCATGGTTTCTTCCCTGTCCCCATATGCAGCCTCAGCCCCTGAAGCTGGATAGCAGGGACTCCATGTGAAAGTCAAAATGACTTTGGTTTAGAAATAGTTTTATGGCTTTCCTGACACTTGGTATGATTACACATACTGCAAGCTGGTTAACATTTCTAAAGTCCCTCAGCTTGCATGCAGGTCTTCAGGTCTGGGTACAGTTGAAGATTGAAAGGAATGGAAGCAGATCCTACAGCAGACTTAGGCTCCCTTCCCCACACAGCTAAAACTCTTAGGGATTGATCATGGTGGCTACTGGGGGATACAAAAGCTGTGAGTCTTGACCTAAAAGTTGGTAAAACTGCTTTTAGTCCACAGTGCAAAATGGAACCCCAGGTTCTGGCCTTGTAGCCCCAGGTGAGGAAGAAGGGGACCCAGTGGGAAGTCAGTATAGCAGCCTGAGCAGGGCTCTCTGATCATTCCACAATGAACTGAGATGGAGCTGCTGACAGTGTTGCTGTGCGTCTAAGAAGTTATTTTAACCTCCTTCCATTCTTACAGATGCTGAGCTGCGTTGCCTAGGAGGCAGGGAGCAGAGAGCTGTCTCCACTGTCTGAGTGATTCATATGCTCCTCTGCGTTGCTAATAATCAGACACAAGCGGCAGACAGCTCCGCCATAGAGGCAGTAATTTGGCACATCATTGATTTTGCTTCACTGACCCTCAACCACACATCAGTAATCGTCATAGATATGGTCTCTGTGATGCCCACGCAGGTCCTATGGCCAGCACAGAGGTCCCTGCCTCAGCCCAGCCCTGGCCCCACAGAAACACAACGTGTTTGTTCTCAGCACCTGGACTCTCTCGAGTGCCTTGGCTTGCTTTCCTGTTTCCGCCTTCAGGACCCGGGCCCCCGGCCTGTCTTCCTGGTTGGCGGGCTGGTCAGGGGAACCTCGCCGCTTCTGCCGGGCCATGGTGATCCAGGGTGGGGTAGGCTGTCCTTCAGCTCCAGGACCTGTTGCTGCAGGAGGCAGACCCTTTTCTGTGGGTAAAAACACAAGGTTACTCAAGACAGTCCTACTTCCTCCTCTTAAATTTCACCTCTGGCTTCCCCCATACAGAGTATTGCTTCAGCTCAGAGTGATGGGGGCAGGGGAGTAACCTGTGAGCCTCTCTAATGAGATTATTAAATATTCTTCTTTAGGGGACTTTCATTTTTTTTTCCCAAAGATGCTTCAAAGTGATTGTGCTCCTCTGATCTGCCACAAAAAAACCAAAATGACCCTCTAAGGTCAATGTGCATTTTAAAGCCAACTTCCTCCTTTTTTGGAAAGAGATAAAAATATGTACATAGATAAGGTTTCTTTAAAAAAATCTTGTAATTTAGGACCAGAACTCACTGTCCAATTCCCTATTTGCTCTGATGCTATAGACACACTATTGTCCTCTTACCTTAAAAAGTGTGAGCATAACCTTCCCTTTGTGAGAGTGACCTCTTTTACAAGGTCATTTCGTGTTTTACTCCTTGTCCAGAGAACCCAGTGATTGCCTGGCCTGGGAAGGTGCCAGGTGGCTTCATTTCTCATCAACCACTCTCAACAGAACTCCAGAGTTCTCATAACCCCTGTCTCTCTGGATTCATACTTTTTTCCTTAAAAGGTTCCTTTCTGTTCTTCTTCAATCATTTCTTCACATTCTCTGACCAGTGGTGCCTTCTGTGCTCTCCTCTCAGTGTCCCTCTCCCCAAGTGGAGGTGGGGGGGAGGCTGCTACCTCACTGCATTTCCATGAGACAGGGATTTTACTCTGGGTTTGAACTTATTACCTCAGCCAGCAATATACTTAGAACAGTGACAAGACTAAATGTCCAGGGAAGAATTTCCACACCTAGTTTTAAATTAGAGATAGAATGGTTGATTACTGAGTACCAAGGTGGTCTGGGCATGTCTGGCATATTCTTGGCTCCCCACCTCCTCACTTACTCTGGACTCGCCCCTTACCTCAAGGGCACAAGACATTGTGCTGGCAAATTCCTATGCCATACCCTTGGATCATTCTACTGGAGCTAAAAGAAATATTTTAAACATCAGCAGAGACAGTTCTATGAGATGGTGTGTACAGCATGCCTCAGGACTGTGGTTAGAGGAGGCCAGAAGGAGAAGTGGGGGCCAGACTAGGGCTGGACCAGGGATGGGTCCCTGTAGACCAGGCCCAAGGCTGGTGTTGTAGCGGGACTGAGGCAGCTCATCTTTCCTCTCCTAGTTTTCTAATGGGAACTATAGTCTTGAACACAATGAACCTAGGTTGAGCTTAGCAAGAGGTAATTCTTTCCCCCTTTTATCAAGAATGTACTGGAAGAATTCCATTCCAGGCATAGAAGGATCACCTGCTGTGTTATGTGTCTGTGGCAGAGCAATGTTTCCAGCTACACTGTGTGTGTGTGTGTGTGTGTGTGTGTGTGTGTATTTCTGTATGTCTACGAACACGTGAAGACTCACAGAAGTAGGTAAGCCCTGTAGCTGCACTAGGGAATGGCAGTGTGATAAGGTGTTGTATAACGGCACTGTCACCACGTACTGGACCAGACATATCACCCAGATCTCTCAACAGCCATTTTTTCCTTTTGGTTACTGCCTTCTCCCCATCCCCCTGAGTGCTGGACTTTTCTTGTATTCAGTACTTTCTTCTTTCCCACCTTCTTCTTTGTCAGCAATGCAAATGGGCCAGAAGGGCCCTGATTCTCTGCAGCTCTTTTACAGGGACTTTTCAGAGCCAGCCTCATGGGTAGAGGGAAGCAGGAGTAGAGCATGGGGGTGTAGACACCAGGAGGGATGGAGAAAACCCACTATACCTTTCTAACGTGGTTCAGAGAGGCCTAAGATTCCATCTAGATCCTTTCAACAGGTGAGCTTTTTTGTTTTTTGTTTGCTTTGGTGGGACTGGAGTAACAAGTGAACTTAGAAAGAGGTGGTGGGCTGGACATTTTCCACCATGTTGAGCCTCAGAGAAGTTGTGCCCTTGTCCTAGGTAAGAAAAGGCAGAGCTAGGCCATTCTGCTCTGACATAGGCCCAGGTGACCTTTCTGATCTGTAATCCCAGTCCCTGCACATGGCACCCACAGTGGGATATATTTGATCTTGGGAGGGCAAGAGAAGAGGGATGAAGATAAAAGGCAATGTGTAGGATAAGGTAGCCTTCAGAGTTAAAAGGCCTTATAAGGTGTCAGCTGTAAAGCATGAACATTCAAGATTAAGGATGTACCACAAAATAGCTTCTGAGATTAAGCATGCTTGAAATGTCATTAATCCTAGGATAATGTGAGTTCAACTTAAATAAAATCAGTTGAAAACACCCTTTTGTTTTCCTCTTCCTACTTCAATATATAGATGACCCTAATCTCCTCAGGTTTTGGCTGAAGGCCTCTGACATCTCAGTTTCTCTCCTTTCTGAATGACAAGGGGTTTAAGTTGTTAAGTGTGCTGGGTGTGCAACCAACAGCCCAGGAGCATCTCTTAGACTAGCAGCAATTCCATGTCACTATCTGTGTTATCCTATTTGCTAAAATTCTGAAAGAGACTCATGCCCCACCCACACAGCCACCCCTGAAGGAAGGCAGCAATCTTTCCTGCTGAGGAACAAACATGGACTTATACTTCCGGAAGGTAAGTGCTCTAGGTGTAGGAAGCTGTAGTGCCCACAAAGCTTACCCCAAACAACTTAACTTCATAGAAAAACAGCTTTCGAGCACAGAAAACTATGGTTATTTTGTTCTTTAAGGCTAGGATTCTATCAAATGAGCAGTTGATGAAGTTGCTCTTCTTCAAACTTCTTCCTTCTCCTTAAAACACTCCCCGACTGCAAGGATTTATTTTGAAAAGTATAATGTGCGAGCACTAATTTCCAAGAGAGCCTGTCCTTAGGTTCACTAGGCTGTGGTAATCAGGAGTACTTCCTCCCTGGGGCAGAGCAACAGAACACCTAAGGGCTTGTCCTGGGCCTGCAGGACCAGGTTTAAGGCCCCACGCTAGCAGCGTGCTCAAGGACAAATTCAAGAATCTGTCTGAGACACAATTTCAGTGTAAAATGAGGAAAACGGGGAGAATCTACACCTCTTAATGTGGTCGGAAAGGTTCCATGAAGCCAGGTGTGGTGTGTACAGGAGGCAGAGGAGTGAGGAATCTGAGTTTGAGGCCAGCCTTAGCTATATATGAGACTGTGTCTCAAAACACCAAGGGTGGATGAGTAGCTCATCGGTAGTGAGAAGTTTGCCCAGTGTGCTCAAGACCATTGGCTCAATCCCTAGCACGAAAAAGGAGAAGAGAGAGAGAGAGAGAGAGAGAGAGATGCCATGACTTGAGATACCCAGACCTCCCAGTTGGTTGGGAAGAGTCAATAAATTAAACCTCCAAAATCACTTAGCACAGTATGTGCTTAAGAGCATTAGCAGCTGCCACAACTACTGTTATTTTGTTGTTGCTGTGGTGTTAGTATTTTTTCCCACTTGAGGAAGAATATAGACTTTAGTCAAATCTCACTCTAGACCTGATGGGAGACTGGTGAGCCTTTGAGCCAAGAAACAAGCTCTGGTATGAAACCGTAACAGGTACTGGCTTGTACCCCAGCTTCTTGCTGGGTTAGTCCCTGAGGATATTATCTGTAATGGTTCTGGAAGATTGCATCTGCTGCTGTGTGTATGCTCCAGTAAGGCCGATAAAGGTAGATGCCTTCATACACTGTATGGGGTGGCATGGGCTTGGCAGCCTGTGAGGGCCAGTAGGATCTGAAGAAGGCTGTTTTGCTCTACTGCACTCCTGGCCTGCTACATCATGCAGGAGCCTGGCCCATGACACACCAGTGTGCCCTGGAGTCCTGTCTCTAGAACAGCTTGCTGTTCCTCTGTGTAGACCCTGTGGTTACTGAGACCCGGGATGGTAGCCCAGGTTTTATCCACATTCCCAGGTCACACCCAAGTACTACTTGTAAGATTCCCTCTCACACAGGACTCTAAATACCCTGGGGAAGAGAACCACAAAGTTTCCAGATCCACATGGACATATTGAATGAGTTATTGTTTTCAGAAGATCTAAAATGACCCATTCTAAAAGTTCTCAGCATTGAACCATTTCTAGGAATCTTCAACCACTCCTGCACGAGACAGAAGCATCTCACCACTTCACTTTCACTATTTCATTCAGAAAGACTTTTAGAAGTGACCTGCTGAGGGGCCAGGAAAAAACACTAAAGGTAGATCATACTCCATCTGACACCCAGCACACAGCTGAGTTTGAAAGCTGAGAGCTAGAGTGCCAGACAATGAGCTTCAGGATGTAAACTTCAATGGCTCCCTGATCTTTGGCTGAGAAGTTAAAGCAGATGACCTCCCTCAGGAAACACTCAGCAGGACGGCAGGATTCCTTTGCCTCTCAAAAATTTGGTATATGCTCTTCTCTTTGAATGTGCATTTCCCCCACCAGAAAACAGAAATGTTTATTTTCCTGCACATTAGGATTTGCTCTGACTTCAGAGCATCATTTGACATGTGTGCGCGCGTGCTTACCATGCATTCATGTGTTCCCTAGACTTGTACTGTAGTGCAGGGTGGGGCAGGTCACTGCAGGAGAAAGACACGCCTCTCAATAAATGGTCATTTGGAAATATGTTTTCTAAGTCTATCTGTGACATATTCCAAATTATTCTTTATTAGAATTTTTTTTGATTTGGTTTTTTTTTTGTGCTGGGGGTTGAATCCAACTCAGAGCAAGCCCTGAGTTCTACCACTGAACTATGCCCCCAGCCCACAATAATCTTTCTTACCAGGATTATTGCTAGAACTGTAACCAAGAAAAGAATCTTTCCCACCGTCACCGTGAGAGCCTAGCGTTAAGCCAACGTCCTTCCACCTCCAGAGCAGAATCAATCTACACCTGAGACTTCCCTTTCTCCACGCATTGGGTTACCAAATTCCCTCAACACCCTGAGTCTCAAAATCTCAATGATCACAGCCAGTGCCAGGAGTCAAACTTGAAAGCTAAAAGCAGGAA